ACACACCAGCATAGATCCGACACAGACGCTACACACCAGCATAGACCCGACACAGACGTTACACACCACCATAGACCCGACACAGACGCTACACACCAGCATAGACCCGACACAGACGCTACACACCAGCATAGACCCGACACAGACGCTACACACCACCATAGACCCGACACAGACGCTACACACCATAATAGACCCGACACAGACGTTACACACCACCATAGACCCGACACAGACGCTACACACCAGCATAGACCCGACACAGACGCTACACACCACCATAGACCCGACACAGACGCTACACACCAGCATAGACTCGACACAGACGCTACACACCAGCATAGACCCGACACAGACGCTACACACCACCATAGACCCGACACAGACGCTACACACCAGCATAGACCCGACACAGACGCTACACACCACCATAGCCCCGACACAGACGCTACACACCATAATAGACCCGACACAGACGCTACACACCACCATATACCCGACACAGACGCTACACACCAGCATAGACCCGACACAGACGCTACACACCAGCATAGACCCGACACAGACGCTACACACCAGCATAGACCCGACACAGACGCTACACACACCCGACACAGACGCTACACACCAGCATAGACCCGACACAGACGATACACCACCATAGACCCGACACATTCCCTACACACCACCATAGACCCGACACAGACGCTACACACCAGCATAGACCCGACACAGACGCTACACACCAGCATAGACCCGACACAGACGCTACACACCACCATAGACCCGACACAGACGCTACACACCAGCATAGACCCGACACAGACGCTACACACCACCATAGACCCGACACAGACGCTACACACACCCGACACAGACGCTACACACCACCATAGACCCGACACAGACGCTACACACCATAATAGACCCGACACAGACGCTACACACCACCATATACCCGACACAGACGCTACACACCAGCATAGACCCGACACAGACGCTACACACCAGCATAGACCCGACACAGACGCTACACACCAGCATAGACCCGACACAGACGCTACACACACCCGACACAGACGCTACACACCAGCATAGACCCGACACAGACGATACACCACCATAGACCCGACACATTCCCTACACACCACCATAGACCCGACACAGACGCTACACACCAGCATAGACCCGACACAGACGCTACACACCAGCATAGACCCGACACAGACGCTACACACCACCATAGACCCGACACAGACGCTACACACCAGCATAGACCCGACACAGACGCTACACACCACCATAGACCCGACACAGACGCTACACACACCCGACACAGACGCTACACACCAGCATAGACCCGACACAGACGCTACACACCACCATATACCCGACACAGACGCTACACACCACCATAGACCCGACACAGACGCTACACACCACCATAGACCCGACACAGACGCTACACACCAGCATAGACTCGACACAGACGCTACACACCAGCATAGACTCGACACAGACGCTACACACACCCGACACAGACCCTACACAAATCCGACACATTCCCTACACAGACCAGACACGTTCCCGACACATTCCCTACACAAATCCTACACAGACCCTACACAAATCCGACACAGACCCTACACGTTCCCTACACAGACCCTACATAGATCGAGAAGCTGAAGATCAAACACTGTAAGAACCAATTTGTCATAGAATATTTTATAACATACTGTCACATTATTTCTTCACAACAATGAAACTTCAGCAAATTTGCAATGGAAGTACCAAGTTACTGCTTGTTGAAAAAAAAATTTAAATAACAAATTTTAACTTGACAAGAAAAGCTTATTTATTCCGTCATTCTCGTTCACTTTTTAAAAAAAGTTTTAAACAAAGTGTCAGTTGTTTCAACAAAGTATTTTCATTTAAAATTGTGAAAGTTAAATACATAATTGTACAAAGATATGTTTAATTTACGTTTTCATTGAAGCATATAATTAAATATTTTCAAATGTTAGTTCCATCAATTATTTAATATTTTTTTTTAATTAAGCGCGGAGATGTTATTAGATCTGTGTACAAAATATGTTGGTTCTGGTATTGTGTAGCTGTTGTTGCTGGTGATGGTGCTGGTGCTTATGATGGTGATGGTGGTGATGGTAGTGATGGTGGTGGTGGTGATGGTAGTGATGGTGGTGTGATGGTGGTGGTGATGGTGATGGTGGTGGTTGAGGAAGTGACGAGAGTAGTTTTGGTTTCTGTGGATGAAAACGTGGATACGTATATATTTTAGATCCATATATGTATTAATGTGTGTGTAAACATGTCGAAATATTCTTATTACATTGGTTTGGGAGATAGCCTATATATGAGTCGAAGGGTTGTGTTAGTGCACCGGGTAAGATAGGGGTGGTGTTGGTGTCTCAGGTTATATAGGGGGGTGTTTGTGCCCCAGGTAAATGAGAGGTGGTGTTGGTGCCCCAGGTAAATGAGAGGTGGTGTTGGTGCCCCAGGTAAATGAGAGGTGGTGTTTGTGCCCCAGGTAAATGAGAGGTGGTGTTGGTGCCCCAGGTACATGAGAGGAGTTGTTGGTGCCCCAGGTAAATGAGAGGTGGTGTTGGTGCCACAGGTACATGAGAGGTGTTGTTGGCGCCCCAGGGACATGAGAGGTGTTGTTGGTGCCCCAGGTACATAAGAGGTGTTGTTGGTGCCCCAGGTATATGAGAGGTGGTGTTGTGCCACAGGTACATGAGAGGTGGTGTTGGTGCCCCAGGTAAATGAGAGGAGGTGTTTGTGCCCCAGGTAAATGAGAGGTGGTGTTGGTGCCCCAGGTAAATGAGAGGTGGTGTTGGTGCCCCAGGTAAATGAGAGGAGGTGTTTGTGCCCCAGGTAAATAAGAGGTGGTGTTGGTGCCCCAGGTAAATGAGAGGAGGTGTTTGTGCCCCAGGTAAATGAGAGGTGGTGTTGGTGCCCCAGGTAAATGAGAGGTGGTGTTGGTGCCCCAGGTAAATGAGAGGTGGTGTTGGTGCCCCAGGTAAATGAGAGGAGGTGTTTGTGCCCCAGGTAAATGAGAGGAGGTTTTGGTGCCCCAGGTAAATGAGAGGTGGTGTTGGTGCCCCAGGTAAATGAGAGGTGTTGTTGGTGCCCCAGGTAAATGAGAGGTGGTGTTGGTGCCCCAGGTAAATGAGAGGTGGTGTTGGTGCCCCAGGTAAATGAGAGGTGGTGTTGGTACCCCAGGTGAATGAGAGGTGGTGTTGGTGCCCCAGGTAAATGAGAGGTGGTGTTGGTGCCCCATATGAGATGAGGGATGATGTTGATGATGTTCTAGGTAAGATAAAGGGAGGCGTTCGTGATCAGGTAAAATAAGTATGAGGGAGTTGAGCCCCAGGTAAATGAGGGGTGATGTTGCTACCTTAGGTTAGACAAGGGGAGGGGGGGGGTTCCATTGGTAAGTTGATAAAAAAACAATAATCCTACCCACCCTCCACTAATAATAATATACTCACATTATTCTTACAGTTTTCAAATACTTATTAAGGCAAACATAAGCTTTGTGGATGAAAACTTTCAAACTTCTAGTGAGTAAACTGTCCGTTATCAAAAGATTTTAAGAGCAGCATCGAAATTAGAACAGCCAATGATGAGTTAGACGAAACGATATTAGCGTATTGATGAGTATCCAGAGACGAAACATTTTAAAGATGTTAGGATTAACCTTTTTCTAAGTGTCCATCTTCATTTGTACGGATTGCACATTCAGGTCTATATTTTTTTCACATCTCCCTTGGTACCAGACACCGTCCTTCCCGGGGGAGTAGTACCCCTCCGTAAGGTATGTCCCTACCCCCACCCCACCCCACCCCCCATGCTTTAAAGACAAATCTGCGTTTATGTCCCACGTAGATAGAAAATTAATGAACGCGTCTAGCAGTTAATTGTAAACCTTATAAAAATGCTTATATGATGAATTTCTGTTTGACCAAAGTATTTTTCGTAACGACAACTACGCTGTCTAAAATAATTACTGATATTAATAAAAAAATTTTAAAAAGTTTAATACGAATCATGCTTTAAAAGCCTTACAAGTCGTATAAAAAAATTAATTTTACTAATACTATATTTTGAAAACTCGACCATAAAGTTGATATTGTTGTTATAGATATAGAACTCGGAAGAAAGAATAGGCTGAGACGTCTAAATTGATACAATTATTTGTGGGTTTTTTTTTTTTACATCAACAAAAATGTTTACGTTATAAATAAACAAAAAATATTGCTATTTCTAAAATGATGTATTAAACATAGCGACGCAGATTATTGATTATGTTTAAAAATTAAGATAAGTCAAAAGTCAGAATAAAGATTAGTAAAAACATAGGAAAATATAACGGATCATACAAATACTAACAATGTACAATTAGTACACATGGATACATCTGTAAACACAACACATGCAAATACCATTTAGACTCAACAGATAGACACATCAGATCCAATAAATGTAAACAAAACACAATCACAGAACACTTACACTCGTACAACCCATATAAACACAACATACACAAACACAACACATGAAGATTTTTTTAATACATAAACATTTAATATACAACCGTAACAAACAGAAACACAACACACACAAACACAGCATACGTAACCACTTTACACACACAAACAAAACACATACAGACTTTTACACATATAAACACTTAAATACCCACACGTAACATACAAACACTCATTATATACAAACACAACACTTGCACATACACTTAACACACACACAAACACAACATACTAACACTTAACACAACACAAAACAAACACAACACAAACACACACACATACAACCTCACAACTTCAACAAACAAACACTTAACACACAAAAACACAACACATACAGCCACAACGCATTCAAACTCGTAGCACACAGACACCACAACGCATACTCAACACTTAACACAACACAAAACACAACACAAACACTGGCTTTACCTGGATCTGATTGAAATCCCCTGCAAACAAACGCCGTCAAGTTGAACTATAAAAACACTATCAAACAGTCAAGAGTTGTCTCCCCTTTTAACTCTTCTCTCCCCCCCTCTTCGATTTTCTCAAATTAAAAAAACCGGCTGGCGTCTGGAACCGCTCTCTCCCCGCCTGTCCCCACCACACGTACCTCACAGCGTTACCTTACGCTCCACGGGGCTGAATATTAGCCCTCGTGGGAAGTTAGGTAATCACTGAATCTACCTGGTAATATTGATCGGTTCGATTATCGACTGTTGGATTTTGAATGGAGTCGATTAAAACATGTTTTTTTAAACTTGTTTTAAAAGATTTGACATTTATTTTGAGGATAAAAAGGTAATTAAGAGAGAAAGACAGGGAGGGGATAGGAAGATGGAGACAGGCATTCTCTGTGTTGATTTACCTAACATAATGTTCACAATGTTTTATGTTTCTTCTCTAGTTTTTGTGTCAAACATTGTTTTGGTTATACGTTAGTTACTTCCCTTGAAATACAGTAGCCTGTTTTTAAACTGCTACGCTTTTATGATCAAGAGTCTTTTATTTCAAAATTTAATGACAGGGTTCATCGAGGTCACACGAACCCCGAATCCCAACCTGTTCAGATGTGGACCCACGCCTCTCGTCACCCAATGTAAGAAAACAACGTTTTAGGTCTAGTCAATTATTTAAAAAAAAGACTGGCTAAAATAGCAAAAATTCAGTTACATACCCCTTGACCCCCCACCCCCTCAATTATGCAATGTATTCGTTAACCACCTTATTTATGTAAGATACACTTCGACCCTCCTCACTTATGGAAGATGCACATTGATCCCATAAATTATATAAGATACCACCTGACTTCCTAAATTATTTAAGACACCACCTGACCCCCCCCCCCTCCTCAGTTATGTAAGATACCACCTGACCCCCTCATCAATGGCTCTAAGAGTCTAAAGAACCCATACGTCAATGACTATGTAAGAATCCATACATCAATGACTATGTAAGAATCCTTGCATCAATGACTCTATGAGTTAAAAGAACCAATAAATCAATGATTCTGTGATTTAAAAAAAAAAACGCATACAATTATGACTTCGTTTCAACAAAACTCTGACAGAAATAACACTATGGCTCTAAGAAGTCTTACGTGAATGACTCTATGACACTAAAAAAAATCCCTCACATCTGAAGTAATCGTCCCACTAAACCTTAGATCCCATCCACGGATCAAAATATGCCTACATCGGCGTTGCACGCCAATCCACCACCGTGACCCAACAATACGTAACTCGAGTCACGTCAGTCTGGGCTAGTGATGGATCACTGACACTCAGTGTCACGTCTGCTGACACGTGGGGAGGAGACTTGTGACAAGCACTCGTTTTTTTTTGTCAAATTTTTCAAACATATACCCCTCCCCCCCCTCAGGCACTCCCTATTTCTTTATTTTTATAAAATAATCAAACAAGTAATTTTTGTTTCGGTATTTACACCAGTATCTGTAATCGAGAAAGGTGATACAGTTTTAATAGTTCCATATTATTCTTCTTCTAAGTTCTTAATTTTTAGTGTTGGAAGAGATAGAGCCTTATCTGCCAGAGGGTTTGAACTCGACTTTTTTTTCGAATTTTGTCAATTCGACCAAGCCTCCATCACAATTAAGGATACGTGTCAACTGGTTATGCGCCATTGAGACATTGACTCCGATTTCAGCCTGCTTTTCTTTTTGGATTTGCTTCCACAGCCTTAGTCCAACCAAGAACAAACAACAGTTGTTTGATTTAGGAGTAGTCTCTCCTAGAAGAGTGGCTGTCCCCACTCATCTGCCCGAGGGTTCGAACTCGAGACTTTTCGGTTTAGCAACCATCCATAATTCCATGGTATGCAGGGTTTATTTCAGGCATTTTCTCCAGGGCAATTGGGAGGTGAGGGAGGGAAGGTTAGGAACTCCAATCGTATGGGTTAGCTCACACATTAAAAAAAAATTAACCACATGACCAGGAAGTGTTTATTAAACGACGGTTTTTTTTTATCATTAATCTGCGGGAATGTTGTCCCAAGCCAATCAGTATTGTATCGCACGGTGCCATTCAAATGTCTGGCATCGATTACTCCGTGGGAATGTAGCAGTTGTTTTCGGTGCGGAGATTTCTTAATGAATAAAAAATAAATTACATTTTATTTTAAACTGTTTATTTTTTTTTTCGCGCGCTGCTTCAAACCAGTTGCTGTAGTTACTGATAGAGGATGGCGTTGTGAGGCACATTGCATCTTTATCTTGCACCTGCCCTGTATTTGCGTTTTATAAAACATATCTATATTTGCGCCCATCTACACTTTTTATCTATGCCCTATATCTGTGGCCACTGATCTAAATAATGGATGTTGTGGTCACGTTATCCGGAGGTCAGATGTTGTGGTCACGTTATCCGGAGGTCAGATGTTGTGGTCACGTTATCCGGAGATCAGATGTGGTCACGTTATCCGGAGGTCAGATGTTGTGGTCACGTTATCCGGAGGTCAGATGTTGTGGTCACGTTATCCGGAGGTCAGATGTTGTGGTCACGTTATCCGGAGATCAGATGTGGACGCGTTATCCGGGGGTGATGTTGTGGTCACGTTATCCGGAGATCAGATGTGGTCACGTTAGCCGGGGGTCAGATGTTGTGGTCACGTTATCCGGAGGTCAGATGTTGTGGTCACGTTATCCGGAGGTCAGATGTTGTGGTCACGTTATCCGGAGATCAGATGTGGTCACGTTATCCGGAGGTCAGATGTTGTGGTCACGTTATCCGGAGGTCAGATGTTGTGGTCACGTTATCCGGAGGTCAGATGTTGTGGTCACGTTATCCGGAGATCAGATGTGGACGCGTTATCCGGGGGGTGATGTTGTGGTCACGTTATCCGGAGATCAGATGTGGTCACGTTAGCCGGGGGTCAGATGTTGTGGTCACGTTATCCGGAGGTCAGATGTTGTGGTCACGTTATCCGGAGGTCAGATGTTGTGGTCACGTTATCCGGAGGTCAGATGTTGTGGTCACGTTATCCGGAGGTCAGATGTTGTGGTCACGTTATCCGGAGGTCAGATGTTGTGGTCACGTTATCCGGAGGTCAGATGTTGTGGTCACGTTATCCGGAGGTCAGATGGTGTGGTCACGTTATCCGGAGGTCAGATGTTGTGGTCACGTTATCCAGGGGTCAGATGTTGTGGTCACGTTATCCGGAGGTCAGATGGTGTGGTCACGTTATCCGGAGGTCAGATGTTGTGGTCACGTTATCCGGAGATCAGATGTGGACGCGTTATCCGGGGGTGATGTTGTGGTCACGTTATCCGGAGGTCAGATGTTGTGGTCACGTTATCCGGAGGTCAGATGTTGTGGTCACGTTATCCGGAGGTCAGATGTTGTGGTCACGTTATCCGGAGGTCAGATGTTGTGGTCACGTTATCCGGAGGTCAGATGGTGTGGTCACGTTATCCGGAGGTCAGATGTTGTGGTCACGTTATCCGGAGGTCAGATGTGGTCACGTTATCCGGAGGTCAGATGTTGTGGTCACGTTATCCGGAGGTCAGATGTTGTGGTCACGTTATCTGGAGGTCAGATGTTGTGGTCACGTTATCTGGAGGTCAGATGTTGTGGTCACGTTATCTGGAGGTCAGATGTTGTGGTCACGTTATCCGGAGGTCAGATGTTGTGGTCACGTTATCCGGAGGTCAGATGTGGTCACGTTATCCGTAGGTCAGATGTTGTGGTCACGTTATCCGGAGGTCAGATGTTGTGGTCACGTTGTGTTCACGTCAACCAAACAACCCCAGCACCCCCCCCCCCAAGTGTTTCTTCCAGACTTTTTTTTCTCCGGGGGGGGGGGCACTTGAAATTTTTTTTGGGGGGGGGGGGCGGTAGACTTTCTTCGGGGGGAGGGGCGAACACTGTTAAAAGTATATATTTTCCATATAAATTTCATTTCGTTAGGGGGGGGGGGGTGCCTGGAAGAAACCCTGCCCCCCCCCCCCCCCCCCCCCACCACCATGCGTGAAGAGTTGCAGACGTCTACGGTCGGAACACAACGACAAAAAACAAAAACAAAGACAATTTTTGTTACAAAAACTGTATACAGTTTTTTTATTTTTTCAAATATATTTCATAAACAAATTTAGAAAGTATATTTACATAAATTGCAATATTATGAAAATTTTATCGCTATATGTTAAGTAAAAAATAAGTGGTAAAGATTTGTTTAGTTTTAAAACTAAAATAAACCGGGGAGTGATCTCCCCTAAACTTTCTCGAATATTCTTATATAAAATAACAGGGGATGGGAACTCGGGCTATAGACATGATTTTTAATCCATTTTAAATACTTAAAGTTTTAAAAATAGAATAAAATCTCGTAGACAAATTAATTGCACACCAAGTGAACGCGAAATAAAAAAGCGCATAATAGTGCGCAATATTATTATTACTTTAAAAATTTACATTAGTTTTTTTGAGAAATCGGAAGTAGCGTAAATTACTACTTCCGGTCAACGGAAATTACTCAAAATTTAACAGAAGGTAGAGAATTAGATCTTTTACTTACATGTGAAATTTAATTCATCTATCTGAAATAGTACTCAAGTTATAGGCTTTTGAAAAATTCAAAGTAGAAAAAGTACCACTTCCGGTTGTCAGAAATCCGCTCAAAAGTTGATACGGATCTACGATTTTGATAAAATACTTATATATGAATTTCATCAACCTAGCTGTAACGGTACTCAAGTTATCGTGTTTACACACGGACACACACACACACAGACACACACACAGACACACAGACATACGGACAAGATTGCAAAATTATGTTTTTCCGTATCAGTGAGATGCAAAACGGTCGAGATTTGCA